GGGGGTTGTGTACTTTTACCTGCAGCTTACAGTACAGGGTTTTTTACAGTACAGGGTTCGGTGCAAAGTGCAGCACATGCATTCAGACAGCAGAGGTCACAGGCAGTGTGTCTCTTGCTTGCTGGCGGTCAGCCGCATGTACATACACTACTCGTACACGCCACGCGCGCGCACAGGTGTGTGTGTGTGTGTGTGTGTGTGTGTGTGTGTGTGTGTGTGTGTGTGGTGTGTGTGTGTGTGCATGGTGTGTGCGCGTGTACATGTCATTGTATGTGCATGTGTGCGCGCGGCGCGGCGTGTATGTATGTGTGTGTGTGTCTGTGCGTGTTTTATTGAAACGTCTCCGAGACAGGTGATATGCCGCTCCCCACATAATTGTGTAGACTACATCAGTACATGCCTTGCGCCTTGGCCTCGTCCACGCAGTCTAACGACGTTACGTTAGCCTTCACGGTCATGATGTAGCCACGATATAGCACAGTACTATCACTGTGTCAGTAGTCGTGGCCATTGACTGAGCAAACTAGCTGTCATATCAGTGTTGCCGCGCGAGATCCTGTAGCCGAGGAGAGAAAGGGTTTCGACTTCCGATGATTGCGTGACAACCCCACCCTTCGCAGCTAGGACGAACACTGGAATTCAATCGCACAGGTACGCCCGCAGAATTGCCCGTTCCAATGGCAGCTGGGTCCCGGCCGCTGCTGCTACAAGTCGCAGTCTCAGGGCAGACATATCACAATTTACTACCATGTGCGCGAAGCTAGCACAGGCCGCTCGCAATTGCAGCAGAAAGAGAGTGCTAAAGTAGAGGCTGGCTGTGCCAACATTACTTTCTGAAAGCATCGTCCAGCGCTCGACAGGAAAGCCCAGAATTGGTTTATCCTTCTGCAATGCACACTGCTGATTTGGCTAGTGAGCGTAAGCTAGCATAAACTATACAACTGTTCCCCCGGCTTTCCAGCTACCAGCGGGGATTGTTCACTTCTGATCGAGTTTTCCATTCCAACAACAAGCCAGAACCACAGGGATTGTTCAACGCAGATGCAAGTTAGTGAAGTGTTTATCGAGTATCCCTCCCGCGCACGTAATCACACATACATTCAAGTCAGTGTGACCGAGAACAACTACCTGAAGTCGGTGGAGGCGTTTGTTTGCCTGGGAAGCCTCGTGGGGAGAACCGTGGCCAGGTGTGTGGTGTCCTTGCGTGTGTGTGCCACTAAAGGTGTCAACCTCACCAACAAAGAGTAGCAGTTTTGCCTCATTGCTATTCGCCAGCAACTGGCAAGGACATCCTGCTGGAACAGTCCGAAGGACTTGCTCATTGCACTGAGAGCGGCTTGTTGGACATCACTTCCCTCGCAGCATCATGTCGGAGTGGGAGAACTTGGAGATTCCTGAGCTTCAGCTGAAGGTGAGGCGATTAGGCCAGGTTGCCTTTTGATTGACACATTTCTAGTGTGATCAGTCACAACGTGTCGAGGACACACTCTTGTTCGGGTGAGCTGTGTGCTCCGCAAAAGCGTTTAGTGGTCGCGACCACTTGATAAGTGGTGACCCGGCCTTGACAGATACTTAGTCTTTGGAAACAGGTCACACATAATTAGTTTTTCTGGGAGGGGGCGCGAACGGGACGTTTTAGTTGCCATAATCGTTCACTGTGGCTTTTGTGGTTGTAGTGTAGCCACAGCGTTACAGTGTGTAGTCTGTCACTCCGCTGGCAATCAACACGGACATTGCGGACTGAAAGCCAGTAGATCTACTCATCTAATTCTTCTTGTCCCGGCAGCATTTCTATCCTGGTCGCGCCTGCCGCGTGACAAACACATCACATGTCTTATAGACCTGTACATGATTGTACTTGTGTATGTTGCGGAACATGCTGTGGAAGATGCAAAACACAAACACAGAGACAGAACTTGAGGTGCATGATGATCTATGTGGACTATGGCACTATGGGTCGCGGTGAGAAAGTAAGAGAAAATGATGTAGCACGAAGACAAACAGGCTTTTGTTTTTTTGGCACATAAGGGAAAATACGGTAGTGATAGATTCACACATTCCCTTCACCTACTATTACTCCGGGGTACTAAATATTGCATTACTGCATGCCTGCCACGGAGAATGAGGAGGTAGTTGCTTTCAATGGTAAATCTACTAGTGTAGTATAGTAACATCCGGTAGTGCATTCCGCACTGGCTGCACACATCCAACTTTACCTGTTAGTCCTTACTAGCCCTTTCCCAAAGATGCCAACATATTTTGCAACTTATGCTTTTCGCAACCATGCCAAAACAAGTGAAAGTTGCTGAAATCGCATCCATATTTTCAGAAAAAGCTCAATAGATGCTAATATCGCAACTCAAAATGAGCGAGTTCTTGTACATAATGATGCCAAAAAAACAATAGGAGCGGAACTTGATGATGGAAAACACTGGCGCAGCACAACTGCTTGTGTAAAGTCAATCGTACTTTGAAGTACATATGAATGCATAATTATGTTCACAGCATGAAACATGTTTAGGAAAATGAACAGACTTGGGATGAGTCCTTGTTAGGGGTGAAAGTTGGCACTGAGATCGCGAGTTCGAGTACTCTGATTTTCTCCGATCGAATATTCGAGTATTCGAGTATTTTTCATCTCCTAAAAATTGCACACCAAGGGCTTTAAAATAACATGATACAACCCTGATTGAACCGAGTAGCAGTCATTTTTCTCGGGTATATTGGTTGGTGGGTCATTTGGGCTCTCTCTACTCGTGAACAAATGTTCACCACACAGCCTGCACATCACCATCTGCCGACTGCTGCCCTGAAACTGCAGATTTCTGTACTAAATGCATGTACCATGTATGAACGAGTACTCTGATTTATTCCGAGTACGATTATTTTTGAAAAAACAGAGCGAGTACTCGAGTACTCGGTATAATTGTTTCACCCCTAGTCCTTGTCCATTTTTGTTGAACCTTTGCACAGAATTCATGACATAGCGGCATGCTCAGTGCTGCCACAAGAGAAGTGCACTTGTCATGGTGATTTTATGCAATGTTTCAGCGCTTCTTGTTGAAGCGGAGCATCACGGAAACTTCAATGGCCTCCTCCAATGTGCTTCTCTGCAAACAGTTGCGGAAAAGTTGCGAAGTAGTTTGTGAAAATGGAGAAAGTTGCGAAAGTTGCGATTTCTTCCAAAACAACAAAAAGTTGCGAAAAAAGTGGCGAGCATCTTTGGGAAAGGGCTAGTCTTTACCCCTGCAGTGCTATCCTAGCTATTACCCTCTAACTACACTCAATGTTATACTTTTTTTAAAGCAGGGAAACCGTGTTCAGCTTAGTGTGCTTCCAAGGGACGTAAAACTCAGTTCTTCCCAAGGTACTTTCAAGAATGCGATAACTAGAACAATTGACGAAGACATAAATGGTCATCACTAAACCTACATCGAATGGTGAGTTACTGGGGAAAAGACAATATTAGGTGCTCAAACGAAAGCTACGATGTCATGATTGGAGGGTACAAAAACTACAATAGCAGCAAGGCAGCATCAATTGGTCTATTCATCGCATTGATAAAACTCCTTTCTCCGAAACGCCTGTCTGTAACTTTAAAATAAATAAACTAAATACTAGTATCCGAGGTAAATACTAGAATTGAATTGAAATGGTTATGCAGGGTCTTTAAAAATATATTTAAAAAATTATATTCGATGCAAAGACAAGACACACACACATCACTAAAGGGCACTAAAGGTTGAACTGTTTCACAGTGTATTACTCACAACAGCGGCCGTAATGAGTTCTGCTATGCATATTGTGTGTTTCCTCTGTTACAGCTGAAGGAAGCAGCTACGTACCAGGAACGCTCGGCCATTCGCAAAGTTCTGCACAAGAAGCAGCTGCGCGGCGGCGGCGGAAAGAACATCGGAAAGTCGGCGGCCCCGAGCGGCGCCACGGTCAAGCGGAGACCGAGCCGCGAGTCGCGCTCCATTGGCGTCGTGCGCGACTACGTCCGCAAGGGCTCGGACGTCACCGATCAGGACCGGTGCAGCCCCGATATTAAATACACTCCGTCCGGGAAACGCGATTCCAGCAACAACAGCTCGGCACGGTCGACGCCAGACCTCGACGCGGGGACGCAGAGCCCCAGCGAGAACGGCCGGAGCAATGCGGACGTCGAGATCTCGCAGCTCGACGCCGCGGTGGAGGCTGACAAACCTCACGTGGAGGTGATAGAGCAGCAGGATCCCGTGCCAAGAAAAACCAACAGTGCACCACAGGAAGCTCCGCAGCAGCCCGAGCCAGTGGAGAGACCTTCAGCACCAGCTACCCAGTCATCAGCAAGCAGCCAGGGAGATGACTTGAGCGACTTCCTGACGGAGAGTGCACTAGAGTCAGCGGTAGGTTACATGCAGGTCTGACTGCATACAAGTAACCATTACCGGTGCTTTTTGACAAGCCAGAAAGTCCCTACTCCTGGTCAAGTGCAGTTAGCTGAATCCCCCACCCAGCCCTCACCACGACCCCCTCCTTCCCTCCCTCTCCCTGGTGTGTAAACTGTAAAGGAAAGGGGCAGCATGGGGTGGCGTCAGAGTGGAATCCTAACATTTTCGTCTTGGACTTAACCCTCGCAATATCAGGTCAAACTATGAATATACAGTCATGTTACATGTTATGGGGCTGAATGTTTGCAGAATGTTTGCAGAATGATGCTGACGCAAAACATGCAGACTATGCTGCAACATGTCTCCTGCAGAAATTTACCTGTAACTTGACAATAAGACTCATGACTGAGACTCTCTTTTCCCACACCAGCAGCACACGCATGCACGCCAATGACACGTACCCATGACGTACACAAAACAACGTACTACTACAACTACTGAGGACAATCTTGTGAAAATAGAAGTCTTATGGAGACCATGCACTATTTTCCAAACCCATGGGCCCATAGTCACAATAGCTAGTATACTGTCAGGATATTATTAGTCTTCTGTGCAGACCCGATGAAGTTTCGTCTAGCTTGAAAGCCATGGTTCTCCACAAGATTAAAACATTCAAGTGTTGTGTCTCCCATTGCCTTGGTACTGTGCAGATTGCCAAATCGTCAGACTACAACCAGAGAAGGGAGCTGAGGACTCAGCTACGCAAGATGAGAGTAGATAAGCGTAGGTTATGCTCAAAACATGCTTCGCAATATGCCATCAGTGAATATTCAAGCAGGGGAACCATTATTATTGTATTGCATTTGTATTTACGGATTCTCCACGAGTGTTAGCCTAAGGCTGTGTTTACACGATAACGATTCGCATTTACACGACAACGAAGTGCGGCCGAAAAGGAACGGAATCGTTGCGTTTACTACTATCGTTTACTTGACAACGCACGGCAACACCCCCCCCCCCCCCCGAAACGGAACGAAATGGAAACGCACTTCAACGTGTTTTGCCTTGCGATGACTGTCGGCTTTCCAGAATGTGAATTATGCCTTCCTACAGTTCCGAAATGTCATCTGCTGGTGTTGCAGGCCGACAGAGCCAGAGAGAGAACGACAGAACAGCAGCGAAAATCAGTGAAAACAAGTCACAAAGTTTTTGTTTCCGGAGGAAGTACATTCTGTTCCAGATGTAGCACGACGTGTTGCATGGTTTATGCTGGCCTATACACGATCTAATCTGCGTTTTGTATAAAAATTGACTTTACTGCTGCTAGACAGGATAATCTGTGCCCTTGCCAACACATGCCACTGTTCTTGCTATTGCCAGGTGCGGGCCGCAACACCAGGGGCAGAGCCTCGCAGAATAGCGAGTCCGAGGGCAGCCGGGACAGAGAGCCGGCACCCGCGGCAGCATCTCCCTCCCCGGTTCCCGCTGCTCCCGTTGAGCCAGAGCCAGAGCCAGAGCCAGCAGAGTCTGAGAAGCCTGAGAGCGAGACAGCAGTGGAGAGAAAAGACGAAGAGGAAAGGCCAGATGTAAGTGAAATTCAGCACTGATCACAATGAATATTCACCCGTTTTTCACCCTAACCCTTCAGTTACTATGACGCAGAGCAAATTCCAATCATCTGCCCATCGCAACAGTTTGTAGAAGTAGGCAAACTCCAACTCCAAGCGCACTCACTATTGTCCTCGTATTCGCAGGTGATCATCATCTTGCTAGTTCACCCCACTGATCCAGAGGCATGATGACGTCGATCATATCATTAAAAATGGCCAGTGAGCAGCTTGCCTCGTCTCATACTAACACTAACTACATGCCTACAGGTTGGACAAGGAACCGAGACTGGCAACAGCCATTCCTGGTTCTGTGCTCTTCCATGCCAGGCTTCCCGGTATATGTACTAACACTGCAAATAGTAGACTCCAGCCATGGCTTATTAAACCTGCCGCAGACTATTTTTATTATATATACTGGACGTGGATACTGGACAACTGTACTCAGGAACTCTTTACATTTTTAGCAGGCTACGTTTTATTCTTATAAAGCTTTCCTCTTGTCTCTTATTGTTGTATACTTTCCAAAATATTGTGTTGCATTGTATTTGAAAAATGGCGTTGCAGTGGACAGCTGTTGTAATAGATCAGCGTTGGAATTTGCTCTATACCTGTAACAGGAGCAGCCGCAGCAGCAGCAGCAGCAACAACAGGAACAAAATGAAGAGCCAGCAACAACCCCAGCTAGAGTGGATGCAGAGAGCATTGACATTGTTGTGGAGGATACCGGTAGTGATCAGGACGAGGCTAGCAGACTGGAGAGAGAGTCTTCCCTGGACGAGGACAAAATCCTACGCAAGTCAGCCACAGCGGTGAGTCCGGAACGATTGACTGCTTGGGAAGTGCTGTTAGATGCGATCATAACACTGTCAAACATATCCAAAACCTACATATCCCAGACACCTGACGGTACTGAAAGACGCAAGCAATTTGAAAACTTATCCTGACAAAACTTATGAGCCAGAGGCCCTCGTTCCCCAAATGTGTCGGAAGACATGATTTTGGGCTGTTGGTGCTCGTACTGTCGTGGACGTGGAAATCCGGTCGCACTTCTAGCGGCCCTAGGGCGCTGGCCATGCAGCCGTAGGCCCATAGCATTGTATTATTATGCCTGCTGCTGCTGCTGCTGGTTGCATCGGGTCACCATGTGCACTGCATGCAACGACATACGTTCTGTGCGCGTTGAGGGCGCCGGCCCCGGTCAATCGACTGGATGTCCATGTCCACAACAGTACGATTCATGTACTGTAAAAGAAGCATGCACTGCACAACTATGCAGAACAGCGAGTATTGCCGAAAACGTTAGCAGTAAAAAGATTTCATGAGTACGGCAACGATTTAATGACCAATATTTGCGTCATCAATACTAGACCTGATCCAGTTCCATGATTTCCTACTGTCTTGCACAGCCTAGCAACACGTTCAGTACAAAGGCACCATCACTCGATGGCGATGAAGGAGTTTCGGACTTCCGCACAGTGCTACGCCGCTCCCCGTCACCATCCATGCCCAAGGCCAACCAGAGTAAATCCGAGGCCGCGCAGTTGGATTTCCGTACCGTCCTGCACAAGACCGATGGCGGAATCTCGCCAAAGAAGACTCTCGAGGTCGGCGAGCAGAAGTACCGCTCAGAGAAAGGACGCCAGGAGGACTTCCGCGGACAGCTGAAGCGCAAAGTTGAGACCAAGGACTGCTCAAGTGCCGCACCCAAGCGGTCGGCCACTGCTCGCCAAGAGGACTTCCGGGGTCTGCTGAAGAAGCCAGAGGAGGGCGGTCGCTCGCCACGCAACAGCCTGACCCCGGCCACCACCCCACCTCCACCGCGATCCGAAAGCAGTCCGCAGTCCGACGACGCCGACCCACCAAACAAGGACGAGGATACTGAAGTAACCAGTACGCTGCAGGCAGAGACCTCGCCACCAAGGAAATCGCCTGTTCCCCCACCTGTCAAAAGCAAGCCCAAGGCCAGCTCACGACCATCACCTGTACCACCAGAGATGCGAGAGGAGCTAAGTGAAGACCCCATTCAACAATCACAAGATGGGGAAACACAGGGTGACACAAGCATTGAAGCTCAAGCCGATGATTCCAACGAAGATAATGCCACTCGGGCGGTCGAGGACGAAGATCGTGACGCGGTAGAGGATGATGAGAACTAGACACTGCTGTGGCTTGTGTGCCCCAACAACATATCAATGAATTCATGCAGCAGATGTGCACAGGCACAGCTTGCATTGACTCAGTCTACTTAAACATTGTCTCTCCACCCCCTCCCCTCCCCTCCCCTCTCCTGCGCCCCCCCCCCCCGCCCCTATACACACAAGTACCATGTAAAGTTATCAACGCTCTACAAATCACAGCTCTCTCCCGATGCTTGCTATGATTTGCCTGTACATATGATGAAAACTATGGATGAGCACGATGCTCCCAAAAGAGCTCATGTTCAGCCATCTATATGCAGCTGCTGCTTAGTACACTTTGATTTGTTCTCTAGATGCTGTGCTGGTATCTTCATTGCAGCTGCCTAGCCCCCTCAGTTAAAGCAAGGATTGCGGCTGACACATTTCCGAAGACACCATACTGCACTGTGAGTACCTAGTCATATCTGGTATCTTTGCTGCCGTGCAGCCTCAGTGATCCACCAAAAAGGACCCGGTGTCCCAGAAATGATTCTGAAGCTCCCATGCTACATTACGAATATCTAGTGAGTGGTGCCGCCATTCTTGTGCTAAATATTCCATGGTCAGATTTCAGGTTCTGATTTGGCATAATATGACTGCTGTTCAAAGCCCATCAAGAAGATATTAATACTGAAGTACACAGGACCAAGTGGAGGTGTTGTATGTGGAATCGTAGCGATGGTTTGCCTTTGGATCTACTCAAACGTAGGTATCAGTACTGGTAGCATAATACAGTAGCTCAAGTGTCATTGCTGATGAAGACAAACTCATACCTGCATGCCAACCATCCCGATTTGACCGGGACTGTCCCGATATCGAGGGTGGTAAAGGGCACCAAAAAGTGCATTTGTCGCATGCTTCACAGCTACATAATTATCCATGTTCATACCTAGGTATGTCATTATCCCGATCCCAGGTTTGCAAAGGTTGGTAGGTACGCAAACTTCTCTGTCGCCTATGGGTCTCAACCCTCACAGCTACATTGTACATGATTGTATGCATCGATGGTGACGTCCGGGTAAGCCTTCAAAGGATGACGAGCTAGAGGTAAACAGACATGTTTGGAGCGGGCCCCTTTATGATACTTGTACAGTGGTATACCTATTCATGTGGCTGATAGGCATGACGGCCAGTTCATGCTGGTAGAGAACAGGTCACACCAGCCTTGGACATGGGTCTGCTGCCATCTTTTCCACACCGGTCACCCTATACTACCACCCCCACCCCATCATATAATAATATAATATTATCGAGAACTACGGAAGAGCAGATCCAGAAGACTTAGTGATAATGATTATGATCTTGACCTCCCAAGAGCGTTTGACGTTTATATCACCATTCAATTTGCAGGAGTTGGAACGGCTGTGAGTCCCATAAAAACGCACCCGATAGACCAACCATGCAGTGTTGTATATCTGTGTGCCTCATTGATTGGTACATGTACATGTATGAAGAAGGGCTTTGGCTTGTATCATGGAGTCGTAAAATAGCGACTCCTTGGCAAGTATGAACCCAGGACACATGCATGATGGGTTATAGCAAGAGTGCATAAAAAAATTTTTGTTTATGGACTCTTGGTTATAGCGAAAGAAAGAAAGAAAATGCTCCCTGCAATGTAGAAAATGTTCATTTGGGAGGGTGAGGTTCGGTGAGCATCATGTACTTCAGACAGAGAGAGAGAGAGAGTGCATTCTAGATAGGTTTGTGAACAATGCTGACCATGGGTATGCTGAAGGAATGGGTGCTCCAGGGTACGTTTTGGTGCAAGTTGAAGAAGACGGTACCGTACTTCGAAAACTGTTTATAAGTACATGTACGATGTGCGCTTCGGGGTCGACGCAGTGCTTTTGCGTTTGCTACGACCCCTAATTGTTTACGCCACGCCAATAATACTGTCAATGTCGTCACCACTTGTTTGACAGGATAGTTTCATACCTGGCAAGGAGGTGCTTGACATGCCAGGTCAGGTGGGACCCAACACAGCGCAAGCATCATGCGGATTTCATCCCAGCAGGTCATTAGCAGACTGGAGACTAGAGAGATCACATTTCCAAACGAAAGGTGCACGTGATGCCTAGCCTAGGATGCATACCAAGCCTACCAAGAAATGACACCCAGGTGTCAACAGAAAGCACTTCTGGTAGCAAACCCGCTGCGACAACTCAACACTACAAGACAATACTCAATAGTACTAGTAATATGCCTATAAATACAGTACTGACACTAGTAATAGCCTATCAACCATACTCCACAGCGCTATCACTGTATCAGTATCACCGCTTTTCGTATACCAGGCAAGACATGCATGTTTATCTCTGGTTTACGTGGTGATGGGAAGTAACTATGCGCAACAGATACCCAGCGCCACACTGCATGCTGCTGTCCTGCGCTGCTTCTGCTTGGCAGCGCTAACCTGACAGCGTAATCATTGCCGTAGACCTACCACGACTGCATCAGCATAGCCATGATTGACTTTGTACGTGGACTCCGAGAATGTATCATTGTATGTTAGGGAATGGTACCACGCCTACAACACCAGACCACCATGACTGCATGAGACATGCTGGAAGCATGCATGACATTTTTGGGAGGACGTTTTTTACTCGAAAGAGAATCTGCAACAAATGTTCGTGGTAGGTGTTTCCTTGAAAGGGGACGATGCAGTATTGAGCGGAGAGCACTAAAAACAGAACCGCTTACCTACACGGAAAGTTGAACCGCTTACCTATTTTCATTGGGGTCGTCCAGGCGGGTTCTTCAGCTGAAAGGGCAAGCTCGCCTCAGTGTTCCCTGTTCTCGGTTGTTTGAAGCTCTGACTTCAGTAGCAACATACTTGTACAATGCCGAACGCTGGAATGCTTGATCACGATGCGCTGCAGAAGTCGCATCCGCTCGCACCGCCAGCGTGGATGCCCTCGTGGCCCACGCGGGGCTTCGGATATCGCATGCAGTCGGCCAGACCTCGCCGCCACACTGTGCAAACACCCAGCGGCTTCGGACAGAGCGGATTCTCACGCCACCTCACCGGCAGCAACAAGCAACAACAGCAGCAACAGAACTCGGAGCAACAACAGCAAGCGTCGACTTCGGGTGCTGATGCGGCGGACGTGTCCGGCACAATGGACGAGGTGACAACTCCGAGGCGGCGGCCGTTCTCCGCACCTGCTGAGCTGCAAGCGGCTGGCGGTGACTCACCATCGGTGCTGCCTATCACACCGTTCACCACCCGGCTGCTGACCATCAGCGACAACGACGAGCAGAAGTCGGACATGAGCAGCGCGCTGTGGACGTCGGCGTGCGGGCAGCGGCGACTCAAGGGGCCCAACGACGTCAAAGCGCCATTCCACACCATGCAGAAGGTCACATGCGGAAACTACTTCTCCCGGAGCACCGACCATCGCATGGTGAAGTTCGGAATTCAGCCGGTCAACACACCACGCTGGAGGTCAGAGGGCAAACGCCGAGCTTGATACTAGTAGTTGAAAGCAACTTCAGAGTAGTTTTTTTAGTAGCTGAATCATAAAAGTAATGAGTTTGATGACAAATGTTACTTGACATGCTTCATGGCATGAATTTGAGACGATAATTGAATTGCCCCATACTGTAATACATAATGAGGAATGTTGTCTGAAGGTTGACTTTTGTACATAACTTCAGTCCATACTAACTGTCTTGTCATTGTATATGGGCATGGTGGCACAATGACTCACGGCAAGGTTACAGAGGTGGCACAGGCAATTCATGTTTAGGCTTTTCGCTAAAACGAGAGTCTCTACCACATGCCGCCGTGAATGAAGTCCCAGCCAACTAGTCAATGGTCACTGCTGCAATGTTTGCCTGGCCTGATTTCATTTCCTTTTCCGATATTGCATTATTGGTTTGTGCGTGCTAGCAAGAGGACGTACAAAGCAGGGAGTAGTAAAATATTTACTACTCCCTGGTACAAAGTAACCTCCATTGTAATACTAGTACTAAGTTCTTGATGCCAGCAAGCGCAGATCTGGTCGTCAGAAGCAGCTGAATTATAGGTTCTTTGCAGTCACTGAAATGCCAACAGCAAAAAAACCGACATAGGCTAGTATAATACTTGAGTTTGGTAGATCAAGGAGCACACTGGCCAAGTAGTCGGTCAATACAATCATTGAACATGGTGCACCTCTTGCATGTACATGTACATGATTGTACATGATATCTCACAATGCGACGGACTGTAATCGCCTATGCCATGCCACAGTGCTGGCTGGGATTTTCTCACTGCAAACTTTGCTGTGAGTCTTGTGACTGCCTTGAACGGGACATGTCTAAAATCTCAATTTCATCCGGATCACGAGTTAACGGTTTAGTCTAGCTCTTTGAAGGTAATTCATTATCTAGCTGTTTGTTTCTTCATTTTAATATAATTGTTCTTATGAATCTGAGTGCAATGTACAAGTATGTGTACAAGTCATGTATGTACGCATGCTAGTACTGCGTGGATGCCGGTGATGATTCCTGATTCTGGAATTCCCTGTACTGGTCCAGTTCCTAAACGAGTATTCACTGGCTACCGGTCATGTTGTCATTAGCCTTGTTATCACTGTGTCGATCTTGCTGAAGGCAGCCCGGAGGATGATTGCTTATTACAATCGTAATGACATTAGCAGGCTGTGTGTAAGAGTTTCGCCGATCGAGTTCAATCCGGGTTGACTCAACGCGGACCGAACATTCTCGCATCCTTACATTCTTGCATGTACATACATGTATGGATTTACAGGAAGTGTGAGTTACGAAGTCTGAAGAAAATGTTGAACGGCCTCTGCTGGGATGACGACTACACCATGGCTCAGTGGTTAAAGCATCGCTGGCTACAAGCGAGGGTCCCTGGTTCGAGTCCTGGTGGTGACAGTCCATTTTTTCTTCAGACTTTTCCCGTTTGTCTCTTTCCCTCAAACCAACATGTACATGCAAGTATACGCAGCCCGGTGAAGCGTGACAGGCACGGTTGCTGAGGAATAGCCCTTGGCGGATTATGCTCCGTGAATTGCTGAATTATTATTATTATTATTATTATGAAATGACCCAAAGGCAATGTGCCTATCGAGGGGTTCATTTGATTGAAAGAACAGTAGATGTAGATGTATGTACAAAGAGAAGTAGGGATTGATGAGGAGAGAAATGGGGAAAATCAACTGCAAGGTGGCGGAATTCCGTTGATTGCATAAGCATAGTCAGCTGTAAATTTCCTGAGGGCAGCTTTGAACTTATAGAGCGAGGCTTCCGATGTTTCAATTATGCTTTCCATTATGCCCAAATTATGCCAGTGATTATGCCAGCAAAGCTACATTATGTTGACTTGAAATTATGCCAGTGATGGTGCTATACTGTACCCTTGCACTCTTGTTGCACTTTCAAACGCAATGTTACAACGACTCTGGCACCATGACAGCACGGCTTATGGGGGGGGGGTAACATTCACCAGGCTATTTCCTGTCACATGCCTAAATATGCCTTCTTCAGCCAGCATGGTAAGGTTATGCCGACCGTCTTGCCCCATCATGACCAGGTGCAGCCTCACCGAGTCGTATCAAGTCACTCATGCGGTTATTGCATGTGCGCATTGTGCACGTGAGGTACTGTGTACTACATATAGTCTGTACATAATCATTGTACAATGACTTGTAGGTCTACTGCAATGACGTCAATATGACGTTATCTGAGGTTTTCACGTTGAGGTTTTTTTTTGAATGACACTGGAAAGCAAGTCAAATAATAATTTTTCAAAAATGCAAACAGAAGTCTCTCCTTCCATCTCATATCCTTTTGTAGATCTTGCTTCAGTGTCCTTCACCTTTCAGTACGAACTATCTCTTGCTGTATACATTCACCGAAGTAGCTTTCAAACTTGCTGGGAGGTTTTTCCTCGTCTCCTGCCACAATGACAAGCAGTATCGATGATGTCCTTGGTGCGTATCTGGGAGCAGTTGAGGACTACTTCCGCCTGAAGGGAGAGCTAGAGGACGTTATGAAGCAGGTTGGTTCGCCACCTTTGTTTTTCGGGTTGTTCCGGATATGCAATGTGTGAGAGATGTGTAAATAATTGCAGTCCAGCGATTATTTTTGGGCCATTAGCATTGCCATTGGTGTCATGACGTTATTGAGAGTGCACGTTTTTTGCGCAACGCCGAGTGCGTATTCATCATACTGTACTAGTACATGTGCATCTGCACAGCTTTACTGGTATCTGGGTAAGAACAGCAGATTGTGATGGGCTGTGTACAATTGAAGTAAATTTTATCTTGTTACAAAACTTAGCCGTAGCAGTCACGAGATCGCCAAATGGGAGTGTATGTTGGGGTTACGACAAGAACTAACTGTTGATATCGCATAGTCTGTGGCCATGCAGTCGAATTCTAACAAACTGTTCTCTCATCTCAGTATGGGAGCCGACGTTCGAGAAACTGCACATAATTTGGAACATTCAGATGAACTGCTGCTTTGTCACAGTTTTCTTTATAAAGGTTTTGTGAGTCCATGGCGACGGTTTCTATGCGTTTCTCTCTCTCTCTATCTATCTCTATCTCTCTCTCTCTCTCTCTCTCTCTCTCTCTCTCTCTCTCTCTCTCTCTCTCTCTCTCTCTCTCTCCCCCACCCCCCCCCACACACACACGGACGCACGGACACACACACACACACACACACACACACACACACACACACACACACACACACACACACACACACACATACACACACACACACACACACACACACACACACACACACACACACACACACACATATGCCAACCCATTCATTCACGTCCACGGCCTCGCATATCTTGCAGGGCTACATGGATATATCGAAGGCACGCTACATCATGGGAGTGACATCTGTGTCACCATATCAGTACGACAATGACATGACGGCCACGGCTGTCGTCACTGTGTAAGTCTGGTTCCTGGGGAACATCTCGTATAATTGGGCACTCATTGCTACTACCGTACTGGCAATATATATGGTCGCAGTGAGGCCATGAAGCGTTACATTGGCACATGTTTACCGCACGCAGGGCGTTACATGCAAAGTCGCACAGGAGCCGTTACACAGGTTTCTATATTGCCGCAGTCCTTTTTTTGCTATTGCAGGACTTCCTGCTGCGTCCAGTTTTGAACTTTTCACCACGCGGTACACGTGCTTTCACAGTTTTCAGCCTTTTTTGCAATGAAAAGATCGCCGCACCCCGCCGGACGCGCGTTACGAACGCAACGAAAATTTGTCGCACTAGCCTGGTCGCGCGTTACGCCGCACCCCCTGCGTTACGCGTTACGCGGCAACATATATTGCCAGTACGGTAGTGTGTGTCAGAAATCTTAACTTCACTTAGGGGCCTTCCGTAAATACCGATACTGTAAAACATGTAATTTTCGGTGTAACTTTAAATTCAGTGATTTCGGTAGAGAAACCAGGCACCTAAATTTAAATTACACCTAAAGGCATTAGAATATGCACTGTATGTGAAGGGAACGCTGGTCACCTAATTCTAAATTACACCTGAAACCTGGCAGGTCCCTGGCACCGAAATTTTAATGCACCTAAAATTACATATTTTACAGTACAGTCAACTTCGCTTATAACGACACTCGGCGGGGCATCAAAAAGGTGTCGTTATTCGCGAAGTGTCGTTATACCCGAAGTCTCATTATATGTACTACAGTGGGATGGGACTTTGCTCTGGGCATGGAAATTCTGTCGTTATTCGTGAATTGTCGTTATATCCGCAGTCGTTATTAGCGAAGTTGACTGTATTTATTTAGAAACGGAAACTAGTCGTTTCTCTTCAACCCCCCTCCCTGAGAAACGAACACATACAAATGCTACATATATGTAGTATCGATATTTTTGGTCTTTTTTTCTGGACATGCTCAACATGCAAAATGTACATCGATATTTTTCGAGAAACGAACAGGTGCTCAACCCCCTCCCCCCCCCCCCCCCAAACGACTAGTTTTCGTTTCTAAATAAATATCTATATTTACGGATGGCCCCTTATCCAAACTTCACTTCTTTAAACTCGTCAAATCCAACCTCTTTCACCAGCCTAGCCACGGATCTCAGGAAGAATTGTAGTGTACAGGTCTACAACACGAATGTTTAGGTCGCAATATGCAACGCTGCTTACTCATGTATTAGTAGGATGTAAGGGAAGGCAAGCAGGTCACTTGAAACACAGGAGTCACCTAGTTAGGCCATCATTTTTTATATCTATGTTTCGCGTCGTCCGCACGCATACGTTTTGATTTTTTTCGGAAAAAAAATCGAACATGCACAGTGAGTGTACGATCGTGCGAGTCATCAGTGTGGACTGGTTGCATACAGCGAAGCTGGGATTCAGAATTGGCCTCGAGGCCAGCATTGATAGATCGTTTGTTCTGCATCTGCGAGCAGAATTCTTTGAGCTTACACCAGACCGCATCGATCGCCTCAAGCTGAGAGGATGCGTCGTTTCGGAGCTCTTTGCACCGCTGCTGACGGCTGAGTACAATAATGCAGCGAAGCATGGGCACCAACGGTTGCCTCCTCTGTCCAAAGCGAATATTTCCTCTTGCTGATAACCCAGATTTGTGCTTCGATGTACGATTTTTCTTTTGAATGTACACCATGCACGAGCTATTGACAATAGTCAATAGGCTATGTAGTATGTACAGTGCTATACACCTCTGATGAGCCTTTTTTATTATTTTGCAACTTTTTATTTCTTTCCACCTCTCGCATATGATTCTGGAAGTTGAACTGACGCGAAACATAGATATAAAAAATGATGGCCTTATGTCATTACAGTCCGCATCTTTGTGGCCTTATATAGTATCACAGCTGAAAAATATGCGTGCTGGAAAGTCACCGGAATTTAAGAACGTGCCAGGCCGGAAGCGAAGATTTGCTTTGAGAACAAGAACAGTGTGTGTGTTTTCATGTAACACTGCATGCATAGTGTACCTGTACGGGTATGCATGCATGCATGCACCAGCACAGAATAGGAATGAAGACACCTGGAATCCGTGCAAATAGGAACATCGCTAGCCTGGAGCGGCGAACCCATCTCCGGTGTTACTGTATGCCACTTTGTTGTTGTTGCAGAGATAGCAGTAACAGCGTGGACAATGTTAGCTTTGCAATTGACCGTCACGGCAAGGCAAGTGGAGGTGCTGGCCAGGACCAGGATCTCTCGTCGGTGCGTGACAGCACGGAAACTGGTGTGCGCCGCCGTCACAAAGGCCAAGCGCCATCGGCCGAGGCAGACGGTGAGCCCGCAGATGAGCAAGAGCAATCACAGGAGAGCAGCGCCGAGGCAGCGCAGGCGCACGCCAGGTCGTCCGACCCGCTCCGTTGGTTCGGGGTGCTGGTCCCTCCATCACTGCGCTCCGCTCAGACATGCTTTGTAGATGGTGAGTACGCGTGTGCTCTTCATTTCTTCTTTTTGTTTTAAGATAAAGAAAGAGAAGAGAAGCGAAGGCAAGAAGGCAGCAATGCCTGTACCTTTGGTGTGAAGGCAAGAAGGCAGCAATGCCTGTACCTATGGTGTGAAGGCAAGAAGGCAGCAATGCCTGTACCTATGGTGTGATGGCAAGAAGGCAGCAATGCCTGTACCTATGGTGTGATGGCAAGAAGGCAGCAATGCCTGTACCTATGGTGTGAAGGCAAGAAGGCAGCAATGCCTGTACCTATGGTGTGAAGGCAAGAAGGCAGCAATGCCTGTACCTATGGTGTGAAGGCAAGAAGGCAGCAATGCCTGTACCTATGGTGTGAAGGCAAGAAGGCAGCAATGCCTGTACCTATGGTGTGAAGGCAAGAAGGCAGCAATGCCTGTACCTATGGTGTGAAGGCAAGAAGGCAGCAATGCCTGTACCTATGGTGTGAAGGCAAGAAGGCAGCAATGCCTGTACCTATGGTGTGAAGGCAAGAAGGCAGCAATGCCTGTACCTATGGTGTGAAGGCAAGAAGGCAGCAATGCCTGTACCTATGGTGTGAAGGCAAGAAGGCAGCAATGCCTGTACCTATGGTGTGAAGGCAAGAAGGCAGCAATGCCTGTACCTATGGTGTGAAGGCAAGAAGGCAGCAATGCCTGTACCTATGGTGTGAAGGCAAGGCAGCAATGCCTGTACCTATGGTGTGAAGGCAAGAAGGCAGCAATGCCTGTACCTATGGTGTGAAGGCAAGAAGGCAGCAATGCCTGTACCTATGGTGTGAAGGCAAGAAGGCAGCAATGCCTGTACCTATGGTGTGAAGGAACATAAAGATAACACATCATAACGTAACATAGATCAGATCCACCAGCCAAAGGCCAAAGGCCAAGATCCTATCTGCTGCATTTGTACAACTCTTGTGCCTGGCCACAAGTCGCGAATTGGCAGTGGGCCACATCATGGTTGGAAAAGTCCACCTCCTTCCAACTGGGACTTGGCGCTTGACATTGACATCTCTGGTTTCTCAGCTGTGGTCTTAGACCAGCTCACTGTGCCTACCTGCGTTTAGGAGCTGCATCCGACACCTAGTCATGTGGTGGTGGTGACCCATGGAAGCAGAACGGTATCTCATCACTTTCCCCGTACATGTACAGTCAGACCTCGCTTATCCAGTCCTCGTTTATCCGGATCCCTCGCCATCCGGAAGAAAATCGTTGGTTACCAATGTTCAGCATATGCCATGCTTACATACAGTATGTGTGTTCGATTATCCGGTTCCCTCGCCTATCCGGATATTTTTTATGGAAAACGGATGTGTGCGGTTATGCGAGGTCTGGCTGTACGTGGTTCTGTGTTAAATCTACGCCTCGACTGACGTATGTATGCCCACGATACGGGTGTGACCACTAAATTCGAAAGTAAGTACGTACTTATTTACAGATTTTTTATGGTATTCCGAAGGTGTATCTACGGCCGGGGATGATGTGCTGAGGCCCACCTTGACGTTAAGTCCTGTGTTTGTGTATGTGCATACGTGTGTGTGCACGTGTGTGTGTGTGTCTCTCTCTCTCTCTGTGTCTGTCGGTGTGCATGCATGTGTATATTTTACAGCGTTAGGCAGAGCAGCTCAGTTGGCAACACTGCAAGCCAAGTGTGATCGGCTTCGACACCAGTATCTTGCCGAGAAGGCCGACAGTTGTAGCAGCTAGGTTGGTCAATCTGAAAGGCGAACGTGTCACTAGTCCGTGCAGTGTATGCTTGTGAGTGCTGCCAGAACATGCAGGTCTCGCACGCGCTGGCTGTGGTCCCTTTGCTACTGCTGTTGTGCTGGCTTTGCCGCAGCATAGCAGTGCAATCACCATGTGGCCTAGGGTTTTACAGTGCTCGACGCGGCTGTTCAGCTCCCTTCGCTGTGCGATATATTTGCGGAGTGTAGAAGCGGCTGCTCCACCGGGGTTGCTTTTGTATTCTTGGCAAGCCATTACGTGGGTGAATGCGGATTCCAATGCTGGCGGCAATACTGGTAGCCTGATCTCTGGTGTACCACACTACCCGGTGATGTTTGCGAGTGCTTGCGGAAAGCCCTTTGCTAGTATTTCTTTTCTTCCTTCTTCACACGTCTCTGCACACATCAGTGCTTCTTTTAGGTATTATTAGAGGGAGAGAGGGTATTGTGGCAATTTTAATTTAATAACATATACTTCGAACTGTTTTTCCTCAGATTTCATCGACTAGCAGTATTAGTAAAGAGTGGCTTCTCGAGTTGTTTTGCTCGACCAGACTAAACCCGAACATCTCTTTTACATGAAAGAACATGTCACTCATTATTCCAGTGATGATCATGTTTGAACAATCGTACTTCTTAGATAAGTACGTTCAGAAAGTGGTGAATCATTTTCAACATCATTGATAAAAGATTTTTCATCTAAAGAGTGAATAGCAACTAAATAGAGCGGTTGTCAGTTGACAAACCCCCTTTTTATTTAGATTAGTACGCTATTATATTTTTATCCAGTGAAAGACGAGGTGGACTTCATCAAGCTCGTTAATTTCTCAACTACACCGTACCTTTGATAGAGTGCTGAAACCAAGTGCAATAACTCCACCATCAGGGGTATGCAACTTTGCGTATGGGTCTCCTATAGTAAACCATAGTAAACACTCACATCACATGTTCCAAGTACATTTCGTACTAGTTGTACCAAGACTAGAGTAAAATAAGCTGCCAGGGAACTTTAATATGTACTCTTGGTTGTTGGTACTAGGGCAAGGGTGAGCGTAGTCCGGATATCTGCCATGATCCCTAATTATGCTCATGACTTGCATAAGCTGAGTGGATTTTCTTTCAGAAGTGCTATTTTTACCACTCCACTGGGCGAGAGGGTACAACGTGAACACTGCATTATTAATATTATGGTGTGAGTTTCTGTCATCAAAGAACTCCATAGCAAACCCAGTGTGTACATTTGTATGGTCTGAGATATGGGCAGTGCTCGCCGGGCCCCAGCCTGGTATACAGAATAGGGGAGTTTTACTGTAATGCACTTGTGCCCGTATACGAGTGGAAGCATACAATGCCATGACTTGATTGAATTAACTTTCAAGCATGGAAATTTGAAGAGTGTGGTAGACAACTTGATGCATATTCTGAATGGTTTGACTAAAACAAAAAAGCATATGCTAACGTGTGCTGTAATCCACGAGTGGAGCAATGTATGCTTGATCACTACCCTTGCTGGATAAAACTGGCCAAGAAAAGCCACGGTAAAGTATTTGTAATAACATCACCGCGCTCCTAGATCTTGTACAGTAGGGCCGTACAAACGAGGTTCAAATAAATTGAAATAATATATGCAAAAAACAGCGCAGCACTGATGTCAGAAATGCTGTTATAGTGGTGAGCAGGTGGCCAGAGGAAAGATGGACAATGCAGGTAGTCAGAAATAAAGTTGAACGGCTATCCCAGCTGCAATAGGTTGTGTACAAGATGATTCATGTATGTACATCGATGGCACATTACAGCACCAAGAATTATTTTCTAGACAAGATTCACAACAAAAGAATAAAATTAATGCATTCAAGGCTACCACGGGGGGGGGGGGGGGGGGGGGAGAGAACACAGAACAAAACAAATTTGGAATTGGCAACGCAGTACAGTCCTCATATTGAACTCAGTGCTGCCCCACAAATCGAGTAGAACTCTTGCTGGATACTTGGTGGCACACGCCGGCTCGTCGAGTACAGCAGATAAAACTGTTCAAGTGCATGTATCGGCATTGGCGGGCAGGTTTGTGCCCACTACGAGTGCAAACACACCAACTTCTCTGCAAACACAAACATGTACACACACACACATACACACCACACCAACCCCCCCCCCCCCCCCACACACACACACACACACACGTGCGCGCACGCGTGCAGAGACACACATGGATTGCGAGAAGACGTGCCCAACGAGTAGCTGAAACTTCGCGTGATCACTTGCAGAATTTCTCCCAGACCATGACTAACGTTAAACCACTGTCACGGTCTTGTGGAAGAGGGTGTCACTTCTTGCGCAGATCTCGGACACGTTGCAGTGTTTCGTATGCTTCCTGTAATTTCATGAATTTCTCACTGGCGTTCGCATCGCGGTTGCGATCCGGGTGATACAGCTTTGCCATCTTGCGGTAGGCTGCCTTGATCTCGGCATCGGTTGCGTTTTCCGACAGCCCCAGTTCCAGCAGAGCACGCTGCTGACCATCTACATCAAACACATCCTTGAACTTGCTGAAGAAGCGCTCCCAGCGGTCGTGGTTCTCGCGATCGTACTCCGTCTCCTCTCTTGTGGCCTCCTCGTATATCTTGCCAAACGACTCCCACGTCTGATCCCATGCGGGTGAGTTGTAGAAGTTCTTGAGCGCGTCGAACAGCTTGATTTGCTGGCCCTCCTCGTTCGTCACTTCCGCATTGAACAGCAGCACACCTCCCATCACGGCGCCGTAGATCGATAAGCCAAGAAGCAGCACCGTGAATCTCTTGCAGGCGCTGCTCTTGGATGCGCGCCGTGCCGTGAACCTGTCCAGTGGCTTTCGGTACCGGCCCAGCACCAGGCCAATCGTCACAGCAACCAACGACAGCAGTTGATCATTCTCGGCCATACCCGTGAAGAGTAGCACAAAGGAGGCGACAAGGGACGTGCCGAACACAGGCACGGCCGCAATCTCCGTCACTCCGATGTTGCCGACCAGCCACACTGCCGAGCCGACACCCAGTGCCTCCAGCACAGCCATGATGACGTCGATGTGTTCCAAATCCAGCGGGACACAGTGATTAGCCATCGATAGATAAAGGGTAGCAGTGAGGTAGAGCAGCACAGCACGACTGAAGCACTCTACGCTGCACGCTAGCAGCGGACACCGACTGTACCCCTGCTTCGCCCTCTTGCGCCACACGTACTGAGTCTCCAAGTTCTCGTTTGCCTCGGCGACGTACTGAGGTAGAAAGCACGTGTCCATCAAAATCCCCAGGCCGAATCGGCCAAACGTTGTAACAGACACGAACGTATGAAAATCACGTCCAAGGTAGAACAGATGTCCGCTGCACCATCCGAAGAAAAGGTAGTGCAAATACGCCGAAAACAGGCTCTTTCTCTGCTCTTTCTCGAGCGGTGTGTTGCTGTTCCGAGATATTTCATGATTCAAATGATCATCCACACTGCTTCCCTCCGCTAAATCTGCTTCATTGCCGTTGCTTCTCGCTGCCGACCTTCGTCTTGGACTAGACTCCGCCATCACCGCAGCAACTACACACAGGTCAGAACTTACTACTCTTGTAGGCTGCTTCTCGATTTGCTAGCGTTTCTTGCAAAGAGTACAGAAACATTTAGCAAAAGCAAACTACTTTCTCGCTTCGCTGTAAGGAGTCATGTGGCCAGTGTGGGGGGGGAACAGGTTTCAGAAGTGCTTCTGCCTACGTGTGCCAAGCCGAAATGACAACGGGGAAGTACCTTCAACGTTCATGAATGAACCCATGTACATGCGATCGTTATCTTGGTTACGTCATCATCATGACTACATGCAGCTTCATGCATTAGCCATCACCACATGCACCCTACACGGCTGTTAGCTGCACATCGCGGCAACTTAGTTTTCTGCACGTGAACCATGAAAAATCAATGCATGCTCATGCATGTTCATGCATAACCAGTCAGCTGGCCTGCTCGCCCACGCATTTGACAGGTAACAATTCCATCAAATTTGAGATATCGCTTCGTTCTAAGTCTCAAAACAGTTCTAAAGTCACCAAACCACGCTGGTAATCGATGGCTATTCAATGTTAACATCTTCAGGAAGACTTCAGCCGTTTCCTGAGAGTTTGGGCATCGTTGCCGTTATTTTTCACGGTGTTCTTCTTCCTCCTGTCTGGAGCTGCAATTGCATCCTGGAATTATTTGAAAGGTATTTCGTGCGGGCTGTGGCGGGTTCCAACAGGCATAAACTGACATCGCTATAGGATAACTGGTAACTTTCACCCTTCAAGGAGGTAGAGCAATGAGAATTTTTTTGTGGCGGTCGTCCAATTTTTGTGGCGGTCGTGGCTGTATTTGTGCACTTCCAAGGCTTTCATTCTGCCTGATACTACTCTCTACTGTATGGGAATCGTTGTTTAGGCACATGTAGCTGTCTTATTTGGTAGATCTGCTGTTTTCAATCACTTGGGACACTTTGTCTAGCCTATTTGTCCTTCGTTCGTGCCATCTATCAGTTTTTGTGGGGTGCCTTGACCTGTATTTGTGAAGTTCTCGTAGTAAAGACCCTAATTCTTGACTGGGGTCACGTCTTGAATTGAATTTGCTGGGCGAGCCCTCGTTCACGCAGTCGTCCTTATCGTAATAGTCAATATCTGCTTCCTGGACGGACTAGCGGCTAGAACAGGGATGACCAAATGGTCCAAGTGTGTACTAGTACACGATTATTTTTTCCATCATCGTGAAATGAGCGTTGTGGAATTGCAGTCGTCTGCCTTTGGCACTGAGGACATGAGGAGAGTTGATTGTTACTTCTGCGCAGCAATGAAGAAATCATCAGCTCTCTTTGTTCTAATTATTGAGAGGACATACCGGCATCGCAATCAAGTAAAGATTAGGCAAATCTCGCCAACCTCCGAAGAGAGTCGAAGATATCTTCCCCAAATGTCACGATCTTTGTGAGTTGCATTTGCGTGCGTACATGACTCAAGTCACGGACCACGGCACGTGCGCGGTTACCATGCCATCTCGAACCGACGCCATCTTTCTAAGTTGCCGCTTCTTGACAGCCGTGCCTAGGCCCTGGCCTGCACTGTACTAACCATGGAAACCTTGTTTTGACTTTTAGTTTTACTTATACTATTAATTTTTTGAGTTTTGTTGAAACACTAGAGAGGTTAAGGTGGCAGTCTGGGTTCAGAGGGTCAAAAAACAAAGTTTCGATTTTCTGTATTTTTTCACTGGCAGCGTCTTGTGTATGGTCCAAAGGGTTTATCCTGAAAATTTGAGCGTAATCGGGTGCTTCCTTCCGGAGATATAGCCGCACAAAGTCTGCACAATTGTTTTTGAAATACTGAAATATCAGCAAATTTCTACAAAATTTAGGTTTGCACACTATTCCGATTTTTACCGTCAATCTTTGAGCGATTTCATTAAAATTTTCTGGAGCGACTCCTGGTACTCCTCTGCGCTGCAGACTGACAGCCGCGCACGATCTTTGTCACCATGGCAACCAAGATAACTTTTGCGCATGCGCAAATTCAAAAAAATTCAAATTTCGACTCTCATGATCTCAGCTGATCGCTCTGCTGTTGAAACTAGTTACTTTTGGAGTAATTGTTTTGGAGTAATTGTTTCTTGGAGCTAACCCCTTCGTTGGCTACTATGGGGAAGTCTAGAGCCAAGGGAAAGCCCGGACGATCTAAGAAAAGGAAAAGAACGTTCTATGGAGTGTCTCAGGCGCCGAAGGCTCCCTCTGGTGAAATTTCGCCTGCAAAACAAATTCCTGACTTGCCACTGTCTGATGACGACCTTGAAGTGTCAGCTGAAGCCACGTCTTCAAACAGCGATAGTGATGGAAGTGGCGGTGAAGTCGACAGCAGTTCCTCCGACAGTGACTTGGATGAAGAGTGTGAGGAAGGGGCGCATGGATTTCGCCTGATTGATCTCGAGTGCCTTCAGCAGCTTTTGTCAGCTGCAGTTTGTTGCAGTGGCTGTAATGGCGCAGTCACGATCAGCGAATCGCAACGGGGAGGCCTTGCATCATGCCTGGAGCTTTCCTGTGTTAACTGCGGCGACATAGCAAGCGAATTTATGTCCAAGAAGTTCAATCGGGTCTGGGAGGTGAACAGACGAGCAGTATTCGGAATGCGACTGATTGGCCGTGGACGTCAATCAATGGTAAAGCTGGCGGGTGCACTGAATATGCCATCACCTATGAGTCGGTCGACATTTTACAGCCATGCTAAAGGCCTGCATTCCGCGTCCAAGAGCGTCGCTGAGCGTAGCATGACTGAGGCAGCTGAGAAAGCAGTGTCCGCAGCAGATGGGGGTAGCGATATCGCTGCTTCCTATGACGGTACCTGGATGCGCCGAGGATTCGCATCGCTCTTCGGAGCCTTCACTATAATTGCATATGATGTCGGCAAAGTGGTGGACTGCGAAGTGCTTTCAAAGTTTTGCCACAAGTGCACGCACTTGGCGTCTAGAAAAGAGAAGGGAGAGCTAACCAAAGATGACTATGATCGACAGATTGCCGAACACGATTGCTCAGTCAACACCACTGTATCAGCTCCTGCCATGGAGAGTGCAGCCGCCAAGACTCTGTGGGCCAGGTCCTTTGAGAGCCGCAAGCTGAGGTACACCACCTACATTGGTGATGGAGATACCAAGAGTTTTAAGGCTGTGCGTGACGCTTGTCCGTATGGGCCCGAGGTGCCTGTAGTCAAGGAGGAATGTGTCGGCCACGTTCAAAAACGCATCGGTACCAGCCTAAGAAAGCTGAAGAAAAACCTTGCGGGCAAGAAGCTTGCTGATGGGCGCACTATAGGCGGACGTGGTCGCCTCACGGATGCCATGATCGACAAGCTGCAAGCCTACTATGGCATGGCTGTGCGGAACAACAGCGGAGACTTGCAAGCCATGGCCAGGGCCATATGGGCATCCCTCATGCATCGTGCATCCAGCGACAGTTAACCTCAGCACCAGTATTGTCCGCCTGGAATTAACAGCTGGTGTAGATGGCAGCAGCAACAGGCAGGTGGTGATGTCTACGCCCACCACAATATCCTGCCAGAGGCAGTATGGAAGGAACTGAAGCCGGTCTACATTCGGTTGTCCGACCGGAGTTTGCTCGAGCGCTGCCAGAAGGGTGCTACGCAGAATCGCAACGAAGCGTTCAATGGACTCGTGTGGCAGTTGTGTCCAAAGACAGGCTTTGCATCCGCTCCCACTGTCCAGATGTGCGTCTACCTGGCCGTGGCCTGGTTCAATGATGGAGGTGTGGCAGTGAAACGCGTTCTGGACGAGATGGGCCTCCCTACTGGACACCATACGACACGTCTCATCAAGCTGCTAGACCGTGAGAGACAGGCACATGCTGCCAGAAAGAAGTCAGAAGAAGGGAAGAGGTCACGAAAGAAGCGAAGGAGGATCAGGAAAGGCATCCAGGATGAGCAGCAAGAGGAAGAAGGTTTGACATATGAAGCTGGTGGCTTCGACTAAGTTCTAGTAAGTTCTAGTTGGACAGACATACCTCCATCTGTACTTGCACAGAGCACTTTTTTTCTCCATTTTCCACTGAGTCCCGTACCTCTTAGACAGCGTAGCGAAGAACCTGTAAGTCACAGACCCCATAAACCATACATTTTTGGAAACTGTGAGCATTTATCAAGGTGCTAAGTGTCATGGATTTTTATATTTGTCTAGTAGCTTTGAGTAAAGTGCTACTGATCGAGGACCTAAATTTTGCGCGATTGCATGATTTTTGTTTGACAGCTTGAGTACTTTGTTCTGAATATGATTTCAAAATTCCGCTCCACTTAGCACCTAGGTATATGTGAAGGAAATCCTGTGGAGCACTCAGTTTCTACCCAGCTTCTTTCTGCGTTTGCATATTGCGTCTAAGGTATTGGTGGTACGGCATAATCGCAGATTTGACTATTGTGTCTGCGGATTCCCATGTGTGAGCTTGATTTATACTTCATTGGACTTAGTGAAATACACTGGGTATGTGGTCAAGATTTGAGCAAAATTCATCAATTATTATGGAAGTTACGGCTGTGTTCATGCGGTCGGGCCGCGAACCCAGACTGCCACCTTAAGATGCACGTTATGTCCGACGTGACGCACAATTTCACGTCAAATTTGGCGTAAAACTTCAAATTTCGACGTGAGCAGCAGGTCACTCGCGTTGATTTTTCGACGTGCGAGCCAAATAACGCGAGCTGAACTTTCGCGTCACGTCAGAAATAACGTGCAACTTAACCTCTCTAATACAATCAACACGTCATGTTGACTTGTTGAATGATGTTGTTGTTGGTTGACAGTTACAGTGCTGGCAACTGAAATCCGACCCCCCCCCCTCTAGCGGTGTGCTAGCCGCGTTACCGTTTCGTACGAGACGATAGGGGGTCGGATTTCAGTTGCCAGCGCTGTACACCGACATTGTAGTAACTGTTGACAACAGTGTTGTACTAACAAGGTGGAGACTGCATGCATGCCGTGTTCGGAAACTGTTAATAGTGTTATCTAATCTTACTACAACCTCGGTGGTTGGTAGAGCTGCCCAGGTCTTCACGAATCACGACCATCTGAACCGTATGGGACCGGTGCTAGACCCGGTTCTTCTGACCCTCTTTATTCTATTTCTAGGGAGTCGTCTTAGTTTTCTTGTCGTTGT